AGAGGGAAAGGTTCTTGTAGTCCAGTTGCACCCTCCCTGATCCACCAAAAGGCTGCTGCCAAAGCCAGCATTTCTATTCAGGCACCAGTGAGGGAATCAACTGACTTCATGACTCATCATAATCTACCTGATTCCTTCTAAACTCTTCATTCCGTAGGTGTTAACATCCCTCACTCCTTTTTAAGTCTTGATGGTCCACTAAATCAAGCTATCCTTTCTTCTGCAATTCTTCTATCTGTTAGCTGCTTCTGGTAATGTAGCTCTTATTTCACAGCCCTGCAGACTATCTATCTCTAGCTAAAAACATTACATCAGGTGTCGAAATAACTGTCAATGAAGCACTGGAAGTCAAGATGCTCAAAAAGGCTAGTTGTTGTTTTATGAATCTGAAAGAGAGACGTACATTTAATTCTAATGACAACAGGACTAATTAAACAACATCTTTTGATTATTTGCCTAGTTGCCTGTGGGGGTGGGGAGGTTATTCATAATATATGAAATGGCAAACTAATGCACATTCCGATAGATACAGTTGTTTTTGCTTCAATCTTAAACTGAATAATTCAGCCTTGGGCCCTTAGGTTATTAGTAAAGCTTCTAGTTTCTTTTTAAAGGAAGAAAAATGTGTGCTCTGTTATGTGTGATGATACACTGCACCAAGTGTACCCCACTTTTCAAATGCCTATATCTGCCCATGGCTAGATCCAAATTCTCTGGCAAACAGTCTGCACTTGTATCCTCTCAACTAGATGATTCTGTTTTTTATGAAAAAGGAGCAGCAGTTGTAAGTTAAAACTGGCAGAAGTATAATGGGATTCACAAGATGTTTCCCCCACTTCAAGCAACTTAAAAAAAACAAAAAACTGGTGGAAGAAAAAAAAAGACAACTCACTGATCATCAATTAGCACTAAAGCAAAAGCTGTTTCTGCTTTTCCTCCTGCCTTGGGCATTGTAACTTTGTTTCCTTCTCTATTAAAATTACAAGTCTAATGAGACCACACTTTCAGCTCAACACTAAGTATGGAAGCATTATCTTTTTATTAGTTTTTATGATGATCATATGCTGACTTTTTTCTGTATGTGTCATTTCGAAGTTTCCCAGAATTGGAGCATTACTGGTACAGACTATCCATCTGTCAATATATCTATCTGATTTATATGCTACCCTTCCCAACAAAGTCTCACTGCAGGTTCCAATAAAAGGAAGAGATAACTCAAAAGCACTGCTTCCTTTTTTCCCCAGTCTGCTGCCAGTAATCCCACATCTAAATCAGTCCCATCTAGTCATTAACTTGGTTTGCCCCCCAAATAAAACCTACATTTTAGTTTGGTTTGATGCAATAGGATCTCTTAAACAGGCTGCATCCCCAGGCTGTTTTTTGTAGTATATCTTACCACAGGAGATGTTGGGGAATGACAGAGAATTTCTTCAGGGTCTTTCGGACAATTCTCTACTAAATCTTGCTCTTGATGGAGCAGACTCAAACCTGCTGCTATGTCACTTGGCACCAGATCAGTGTCCTGCAGAAGAAAAATGAAAGAATTTATTTAAAATAGTGCAGGAAATTCACTAACTTTAAAAAAACCCAAAACATTGCCTGTTAAAAGGAACAGTGTGCCGGTAGAGCGTACATGTCTCCTTCAAAGTACCTGATTTTACCTGTTTAAAAACTTCCCACAAATAAAACTCAAGTATAAATCGCCAGATGTCAATGTCTGAAAAAATCATTACAAAAGACTCCTTTTCAAAAGGCCTGCCCAGCCTTGACAACAGAACATGATCTGAATGTGAACTTATTATTGCTGCATGCAAACAAGGGGTGTGGGGGGAGAAAGGTTCTTAGCCCCTCCCAAGCTACTACATACTTTCCAAGGAGAGGTTACGCTGTTACGTACAATACTCCTACTCCAAGCACACACACTTGTTCACAGTCCTGTAGCAATACTGGAAATACGTCTCCCAACCCTCTGAGCCTGACCTTACAAAGTGTTGAGCGCTATAGGTCCAAGTGAAGCTGATGGGTGGGGATACTCATCACCTGGAAGGACAGGGTCCCAGGGAGCCTTTCCATCTTGTAAAGAAAGTGCAGAAGATGAGGAGGAGACTAAATCATCTTTGTGACACTAGGTTACCGGTTCAAGCTGGGCCTGGAACAACAGCAACTAAGGGCCTTGCCCACTTTAAGTCTCTTTAGTGACTTACAGGGAATGAGACTGATCTCAGCGTGGAATCTGCTGACCTGTGTGTTTCATAGAATCACAGAAAGTGAGTGCTGGAAGGGACCTCAGGAGCACACATCTAGTCCAACCGCTTGCTCAAAGCAGGATCATCCCCAACTAGATCATCCTAGCCAGGGATTTGTCTAGCTGGGTTTTAAACACCTCCAATGTTGGAGCTTCCACCACCTCTGTGGATAACTTGTTCCAGTGTTTTACTATCCTTCCAGTGAGAAAATTCTTCCTAATATCTAACCTAAACCTCCCTTACTGCAACTTGACTGTTCCTCCTTGTCTTGTGATCTGCCACCACTAAGAACAGTTTAGCTCCATCCTCTTTTGAACCCCACTTCAGATAGTTGAAAGCTGCTATTAAATACCCCCTCAATCTTCTCTTCTCTAGACTAAATAAGCCCAGTTCCCTCATAAATCATGTGCCCCAACCCCTTCACCATTTTTGTTGCCCTCTGCTTGACTCTCTCCAATTTGTCCACATCCTTTTTATAGTTGGGGGGAGGGGGGCGCAAAACTAAACACAGTACTCCAGATGTGGCCTCACCAGTGTTTAATAGGGCTAGGGACAAAAGCTGCACATAAATAGTCTAGGGCTACCATACATCCAGGTTTTCTTGGACATGTCCTCTTTTTTGGCCCCTTGTTCTCCTGTCCAGGCAGGTTTTTAAGATGTGAGCAAATGTCCGGGTTTTTGCTTTTCCTCTGCTTTCCCAGGCACCAGAAGCTTGGCTGCTTGGGGCTGGGAGCAACAGGAAAGGCGATTGGCTGTTGGAGGTGACATGTTCTGTGCGGGGACCCAGCAAGCTACTCCCAGGTGGGTGGGTGACAGGCAGGCAGGCCTGTGGGGGGCAGGGTGCTGTGGGGCAGAAGTGAGAGGCACACCCCAATCATATACCACTCTCCCCCCTCCTCCCCACCTCCCAACAGGTGTCCTCTTTTTTGATACTGGAAATATGGCAACCATGGTTTAAGTGATCAGAAACTGGTTTAACCTGTAACGGAATATAAATTCAGCATACATAAGCCAGTTTCAAAATGGCTGAAACTGGTTTAAGGTAAACCTGGTTGAATGTAGTATCAGACTTAACTGATCTGGGTCAAACCAGTTTATGCAACCTGTCCCAGACCCCTTCCTGGTTTAAGTTAAATCAGAGTCCCCCAGCATGCCCTCCAGCCCTGGGCTGGGCTGTCTGCTCCAGAGGGCAGGGCTGGCCCTGCCCCTCTCCTCCCTAACCACAGCATACTGCTCCCAGCTGGCTAAGGAGATGGAGACTGCAGGCAGAGCAGCATCTGCCACCCATTCCTCGTCGCTCAAGCAGGGATTCCCCCCTGCTCCCACAGCATGGACCCCAGCTTGCATCTAATCATGGTCACGCCACTTCCATACTAGCTAATGCTGAGAGGTGTCTGTGTGTATGAGTCTCTAATTTCACTGGGACAGGCAGACAGAACAGTGTCCACATAGGGCTTTTTGGAGCTAATCAACAGATAAGCCGGTAATGTCCCTCCGTTCCTTCATTGCTGTTTAAGAGCTTGAACGAATGAGAGAGGTTTTTGTTTTCTTGATGGGCTGATAAACTTTATCAAGTCCTGCTGGCTTGATTGCAGCTTGATACAGACAGGATGAAGAAGCAGGGAACAGGAAATTGAAAAGCTCAGTATCATCAACAGATGCATACACTCCACATAAGCAGTCCTGCCTCCCCTGGGGTGGGATCTGGCAACACTCCTGTCCCTTGAGCAGCAAGCCAGGAAAAGCCTGGTGAGGGCTGCTTCCCCTTTCCCATCCAGGCACACCCCAGCTGGGGACTGTGCAGGCAGGGTGGGGGTTTAAACCCCTCCCCAAAACAAAGCAATCTGCTGGGGCCTGGCCATGCTCCCCCTCAGCTCAGCACTCTGAAAGGGAAGGGAGGGCTCACTCAAGCACCCTCCTGGCTTCTAACCTGAGCCACTGCAGGCATGTGGCTGCACTTCTTGATTCAAAATGAATGTCTATCCACTTGCAAATCAGTTCAAGCTCTGGAAGTTAGACTAACCTGCAAAAATTGAATCAATTCAGGCTGTGACTTTTTGAATGCCTGTCCCTAGCCTAGAGTGGAATAATCACTTCCCTTGACCTACTGGTAACACACCAATGCATCCCAGTATTCCATTAGCCTTCTTGGCAACAAAGGCAACTCCTGGCTCAAATTCAGCTTATTGTCCACTGCAATGCACAGGTCCTTTTCTACAGAGCTGCTGCCCAGCCAATCAGCCCCCAGCCTGTACTGGTGCATGTTCTGTCCTAAGTGCAGAACTTTGCACTTGTCCTTGGTGAACCTCATGAGATTTATTTTGGCCAAATCCTCCAATTTGTCTAAGTCACTCTGAAATCTAACCCTACCCTCCAGTGTATGTATTACTCCCCACATCTTGGTGTCATCTGCAAACTTGCTGAGGGTGCTCTCTATGCCATCTTTCAGGTTGTTGATGAAGACATTGAACACAACCAGCCCTAGAACTGAGCCCTGAGGCACTCCACTTGATATTCGCTGCCAACTAGACATTGATTACTACCCTCTGAGCCCAATGCTCCAGCCAGTTCTGTATTCACTTTACAGTCCATTCATCCAGCCCATACTATACCTTAGCTTGCCTGTGAGGATGTTGTGGGAGGCTGTACCAAAAGCCTTGCTTAAAATCAAAGTACACCACATCCACCAGTCTCCCTGTATCCAGAGTCAGTCACCTCCTTATAGAAGGCAGTCAGGTTGGTCAGGCATGACTTGCCCTTGGCGAATCCATACCAACTGTTCCTAAGTCACCTTCTCCTCTAAGTGCTTAGAAATGGATTCCTTAAGGATGTGCGCCACGATTTTTCCCAGGACAGGGGTGAAGTGGACTAGTTTGTAGTTCCCTGGATCCCCCTTTTTCCCTTTCTTAAATATAGGCACCATGTTTGTCCTTTTCCACTCATCTGAGGCCTCTTCTGATCACCATGAGTTTTCAAATATGATGGGCAATGGCTCTGCAATCACATCAGCCAACTCCCTCAGGTGCATCCCATCCGGCCCCATGGACTTGTACATGTCCAGCTTTTCTAAGTGGTCCCTAACCTATTTTCAGCACTGAGGGCTGCTCACCTCCTCCCCAAACTGTGCTGTCCAGTGCAGTAGTCTGGAAGCTGACCTTTCCTGTGAAGACTGAAGCAAAAAAGGCATTGAGCACTTCAGCCTTTTCTGCATCCTTTGTTACAAGGTTACCTCCCCCATTTAGTAAGGGACCCACACTTTCTCTAATCTTCCTCTTGCTACCTACATACTTGTAGAAACCCTTCTCGTTACCCTTCACATCCCTTGCAAGCTGCTACTCCAAGTGCGCTTTGGCCTTCCTGACTTCATCCCTGCATGCCCAAGCAATACTCTTATACTCCTCCCTAGTTATTTGTCCAAGTTTCCACTTCTTATAAGCTTCCTTTGTGTATTTATTTTGCTGAAGAGTTCCCTGCTAAGCCAAGCTGGTCTTCTGCCATATTTGCTAGTCTTCCTGCATATCGGGATGGTTTGTTCCTGCACTCTCAGTAAGGCTTCTTTGAAGTATAGCCAGCTCACCTGGACTCCTCTCCCCCTCAGACTGGCATGGTATAACTTGCATAGGAACAAGCTCTAGATTTCTGAATTGAGTCCTATTGTATGAAAACCCAATTTGAAAGCATGCAGTGCTACTGAACATTCACTGAACTAAAAGGCTACAGAGATGCTGCAGTACTGCAAAGTCAGAGTTTAAGGTAAAGGGAATGGAAAGAAATAGAGCATAAAAAAAAATATTTTCATCTTACTGAAAAGTAGCTGCTGAAGAGTTCTGCAATACTTGTAAAAGCCACTCGGTGGTCATCATTTTGCACAATACAACAACACAGTAACCTAATTCTTTTCTCCCAGACTCGGGTTGCAGTCTTCTTGACATTATAGAATAGCTGGCCTGACTGACTGCTTTCCAGGTTGCGATCTATAGCATCAGTGAGGTACAAGGTCTTTTTACCCCCAAGAGGATCAAAGACAATTACAATTGCAATGATGGTAAAGATGATGATAATCCAGCTGCAACACAGAAGAGGGGAGAGAGGAAGAGATCAGTGAAATCCATGCTTCTAACATGTCAGATACCAAAGAACCCAGCTGTTATCTATATGTCAAGAACAACTGATATCTTCCATATATAAACTATATCTACCTCCACATGCCTTCACTTACTGCCACTGTGATGACAGTCCTGTGATAAGAATAACAGTACAGTGAAGAGAAGTGAAACTGCCAACCCATTTCACAAGACACCAATTCTTTACTCCCCATGTTTCATTCATCCTGTTCCTGGTCTGGCTTCAAGCTTTGGGCAATTAGAAAAAACTGGAAGAAATCACCTTACCCTATCTAGCCTGATGCACTCGAGTCCTCCCCCACACGCAACAAAATCCTTCTTGAAGGAGCTGTAAGGAATAGCCCAGTTTTCCATGACTAGGGACTCTCCAAAGGATATTTAAAACAAATGTAAACAGTCTTTCTGCTTTCCAATAATATTAACATTTAGCTTAGTTTACTGTTTACCTGGCAATGACTGTTCCGAAGATGGCATTTACCACAGTCTTTTCACAATGCACCCTGCTGTCTGACACCCAGATAGCACCCACAGTTGCCCACACAAATTCAGGCAAGAAGAGAAAAAGGCGAGTATAAAGCAGTTTAGGAAGAGATTTTCTTGGCCCAGGGTTAGAAATTGTCCCTGTAATCACAAAAAAAAAAAAAAAAAGAATAAAAAGATTAAACATCTAAAGTAAAAGAAATCTTATTAAAGACACATCAGCAGTTCAGTACTCAAGTGAAATTTAGACATGTGCAAATGCAAGTTACTTCAGATTTTACAAGAATTAACCTAACCTAACCTACAGCTCAAAAGAGTGGTTGATCTTCAAGCACCTATTGGTACGCTCATGCCATTCACTCCCCAGAAACTAGGTTTAAGAACTTCTCTTTGAGCCGCACCCTGATAAAAGTCTCCATTCATCCAGGACAGGAGAATCCTTTTGGACTCCTCCCCTGAGGCATAGGCAAGTTCCAGAGTGGGACAACAGCTCCCCCTTGAGATGAGCTTGTCCTCCTCCTCCCCCCCCCCCCCTTTTTTTTTTTTTTTTTTTTTTAATAGCCCATAGAGGTTATCTTTTTCCTGCTGCGGGTGCAGCTTCCCCATTAGACGACCATTTCTTTCCCTTTTTCTTTTTTGTATTAGCTTACAGGTCCCTTCATTTGTTTTTGTGCAAGTGTAGCTCTGTCTTTTCATTACATCTCAGGCACACATTACATCAAGCACATCAAGAATGTCACTGGCAGGGAAGGGAAGGAAAAAAAGCTGTTTTAAAGGCAAATGAATTTTAAGAGCCACTTACTAATTTTGAATATTTGGTGTTACTACTTAGAAAGTGACCTTTGGTAGGTCTCCTTTCTTGAGAGCAGATTTCTCAGAAGATATATTTCAGCTTCAATTTGATCATAATCAAACCAAATCAATCCAGCTTGCTGAACAGAGATCCACCCTCACTTATCAACAAGTTAAACTCAGGCTCTTTCTTTGCAATTCTTTCCCAAGCCACTTTTGCTACCAAAAAGGGATATCACAATAACTCTCATTTTGTGCAATATGTCTACCTATTTAGTTAATAAGATGGTTACAAACAAGACCAAGAGGACACCTCAGCT